AATTGTGAGTAAAAATTTACATACCTCTATCAATTAATTTTTTAATTGCATGCAAAGGATATTTAAAGCATAAATATGAAATATGAAAAAAATGCATAGGTATCCTATTCTACTAAATAATTGTATGTTCTAAGAATATGTACAACTTGCAAGTTAAAAATATAAAAACAGCCTAATTATATATTTAAATAATCCTCAAGTACTCTTAATTTAAAATTATCACTTCGAAATTATAAAAATTTTTACATATAATAGTATGAATACAATATAAGTACTTACTTCGTGGAATACATTTTAAGAGGTAAAAAAATTTTGATTAATTATTGTACTTCATTTGATACGGAAGGAACTTCATGCTTTTTTCTCTGTAATTACTTTGGCACTAATATAACATATTTTATTATTGCACTTCGATACAGGAATAATCTTGTTTTTATTTACAAGTAGCATATAATTTCTACCTTACGAACATATCTTAATATCATACAAATACAATTAAAATGTGAATGGATAAATGTAGGAATGGAAAAAATTGAATAAAATGCACAGTTTGAAAACATGTTTAAAAGTAACAAAAACAATTTGCATTTACTTCATGTCATATTTTTCTCAAGTTCTAGACATTTGTTATTAAAGAGTAATAATAAAGTCGTAATATTTAACTATTTTTTTTAACCTATTAATCATTAAACTCATAAAAAAGTTCAAGTTCAATTTTAAATAAATTATAAATTTTCGTGGATTAAATAGCATTACATCTCGACAAGTACAGTTGAGTGTTAAATGTTTGTACTTTTCCAAAATAATATATTTCTTCAAAAAAAGAGATATTGCAGATATTTAAAGAAATATTATATAATATTAAGCTTTGATATGTTGAATACTGAATAGCAAATTTAATATCTCTTATATGTGTATTTTTAACTGTAATGCATTTAGAACCACAAAAATTTGTAAAATAAAAAATCGTTTAAACTCGCAAAAATGCGAGTATTTTATAAGGAACAGTCAATATAAACAAAATTAGATGCGAGATTTGTTAACATGTTAAATACAAAAATAAAATAATCGCATGTTGACCAAAATATTATATAACATTAAATTAAAAATTTTGCAATATTCTGAGTACTTTTAAATAAACTATATTGTACTTCTCATAACTTTCAGGTTTTTTAGGAAATTATAATAATTTCAAAAGTATTATATAAAATAAAATTTTAGCTTATATAAAAGAAAATTTACATTATATTTTAATGTACGCCTGTTAAAATGTAATATAAAAGGATTGCAAAAATATTTTTCTTCATTATTTTTGCGTGCATGGGTTAAACATAATTAATTTGATAAAAAAAACATGACGATTTATTTATAATATTTTGTAATATGTGTTTTTGTAATATGTAATATAATGATCATACGTGTGTGATGGAGATTTTTAAACAGAATATTAAACAATTAATATTTACGCATATAATTTACAGATACAGCGCATGATAATATACAATATGAAGTGGCAAATCAAGAGAAAGATGATCTAATAGTTCTTTACTGCATGAAGAGCAATATTGGACAACATAAATCGTACAATTATGATTTTTACATTTATTTCATGTATTAGTAATAACTTGATGTGTTATAGCTTTATCGTCGCATATAAAAAAAATAACAGAAAAATATTTTAGCAATTAAGTCACAAAAATATTTAAAAACATTTTTATATAAAACAATTTTTTTAAATAAAAAGGTGTTATCTCTCAACCCACTTTCCTTTTCCAGCACCTCAACCACATAACATATAACTTTAATTTTTTAGATTACTCATTTTCCGAATTTTCCAGACTATTAATTAAATTAGTACAAAATCTTAAGCATTAGAAAATTTTCCATGAATCAGAAAACATACAATTTCTGTTTGTATGTTAAGAGATCGAAAAGTTCTCTCCAGATTGGGCATCGTAAATCTGTGGGTCGGAAAATCAAGTCAGTATTTAGAGCGGATAAAGATAATAATGTGTATTTACTTCCTTTCTCCGTTCCGCTACTCTGTCTGTGTGCGCATGTGTATAGATTATTGTAATAATGTTATTATTATAGGCTGATAGAGGTACATACAAAACAACACACAATAAAAACAATAACATAATATTAACGTGACGCTCACAATAATAATGATAATAATATTAATAATAATATAATATAATATAATAATAATCTTAAGAATTTTTTTAATAAGCATAATAAACATCGTCAGTGGTATATTTAATAACTAATTACAATCAACTTGCAGCAAAGCTTCGGACCTCACGGTAAACGCAACAGGATCGCTACCGTCCGAAATTTCCCATTTAATCATTCCATTTGAAATTATTTATTTCGTTATCATTTATATTGTATTATATTATCGTCGTTACATAATTAACTGTTACAATACCGTGGCAGAATTATACAGTTATCCGAAACTCAGTCTCTCACGAATTCAAATTCATTCTATACGATCCACGTCTCATTATCGCGCTGTCTTTATTTCTTCATTCAGTCGCGTTTATCTGCTGTCGTCGTGCGCAGGTATTTCATATGCTTAAGAATTTCCAATTCATAGTTATCTTGTTTTTGTTTTAAAATCTTCTTTTTCTTTCTCACGGGTTTTCCATGTCTCTTGCCCCTCTTGCTTACGCTCTCGGTCCTTCTTTCTCGCTTTCTTTCTCTATCGATTTTTCCAGTGCAAGGCCTGTGCCTACTTTTCATTTTGTACCACAAAACATACATTCGTATCCACAGCCGTGTGACACGTTCGTGTCACCACACATGAAACAAATGTACTCTTGCTTACAGAACATACGTACATATATGTGTGCGAATATACCTACACGTACACATATATACATACACACACACCCATCCGAACACATGCATACATAACATACACAAAATACACGTATATAATATATTGTAGCCATTCACACGGACTCAGTAGCCCTTTGTAATTTAGATAATGTTGCACCTTAGAATAGAGATCCAGTGTGATAATTTCTTTTTCATTTAACACCTGATTAGATTACCTACTTATTCGCTGATGTTCTGTTCAAAATTGTATTCCGGCCGCGCTTAGGACTTCGTTCATACGAGATCGATTTTCTCTTACTATGTTTCTCGTCGTGAAAGACATGAGCACGAGTTTTAAACAAAAGATGTAAAACGACCGGAAGACATGATATATCCGTCGTGACATATCCATTGAATATATTTACAGAGATTAATACTTGTGACATTCACTGAACGCAAAAAAATAAATGTATATATATTAATAATTATCAATAATCATGTATACATGATTATTGATAAACATTAATTAACAAATACGTCTTAGACATTTTTAGGTCTAGCCAAAAGTATAGGATATAATCAATAAGAACATATCAATTCCATAATTAATTTTAATATTAAATTAATTTTTAATATTAAAACTTAACAAATGTCGATTTAGAATATCAATTGACGTCACGCCCAGTTTTTATCAACGGATACTTAGAATATCCAATGGTAATGGAATATTATAAAAAAATTTTCGGCACCGGTTTTTTAACAACTTAAACCACAAGTTTTTATCACGTGTTACCAATTATCATAAAAAATAATGCAATTACGCTATCTCGTCACTAAGCAATAAAGTTTATAGTGTTAAGTACCACAACCTTTTTTTCCTTTCACGGCAAGAATTTCGCCCGCGCGCGAAGATGAAAATACTGAGCCTACGATCTTAACCCTGTATAACATCATAATTTTTATGAAGATCCCAAACTCAGCCTAGAATGGTACAATAGACCACTAGTCTGGCTACTAGGTATATTTTTAACATAAATCGCTTTTCTTCAATACTAAGAATTATAGGTACTAATTTGCGATCCTGTTTAGGCGATTAGTACGACATTATGGACGTAACTACCTATCTTTTCGGATACGCTCGTGTTCTATACTGACTTCAAAATTTACCACTCTTTAATTTTGTCACGACAGGCAAATAATTGAATAACAAAAGAAGAAAATATTTATCTGACAAATTACTTTTGATTTTTGTTCTTGAATCAAAAATCGTCGTCATAAATAACACATATTTCGATAAATGTAAACTACACACTAAATGTGGCTACGTCACAAGTTTTTTAAATCATACATGTGTGTATGATAATTTAAATTCAAATATTACTGAGAGCAAACATTTTTCGCAAATAAAATTTTTATGATCTATATTTCAAAAAAACGTTTCAAGAAAATAATATTTAAAAAACAGATATGAAGAGCGTAAATGACGAGCAATAATAAAATTTTTGCTAATGTTAACTTTTTAATATTACCTAACTGTACAATAAGTAGGTAGTTGACAAGATTTGCAGGTCCTTAACGCGGTTATATATAACCCATACCGAAGTGGAAAATTAATTTAAAGAGCGATACACATGCATTTACGCGAGATCAGTGAGTCCACTTACCCCCAAAAGTGACCCATCCGCTTTACGACTTGCGATTCTCGACCGTCCAGCCCTAACTGCAAAATCAATGGTGTCTGATTGAATCAACTCCGGGTGTAACTGCAACGATACGTTCCAATCTCCAAATGTGTGACTCGGGCCCGATAATAGACGGAGATGTGAGACGGAGTAAACGAGTACATGATGCGACTGAAGGAGGAAAGAGGAGACTCTGGGCGGTGGGAGGAATAGGGGTACATTAAGTGACATTAATTACCTCTTTACTTTATGTATATGTGTATATATATATATATAACTGGAGAAAATACTACCGAATTACGAATTGGACAGATTGCTTGGTGTCGCCCGATGACGTGTATTATTCGTAAAATACCGACACCCGACACCGACACTCGAAGAGTCTTCGGACCGCTTGAAATAATGGCCCCAAACGCGCCCTTTCTATACAATAGCGAAGTTTTCGCTTGATTTTGAATAATAATAATATAATTAATAATTAATAATATAATTAATAATTAATAATAATATACTACGCGCGAACTTTTTATCTTTCCTTAGAAGAAGCAGTCTTTGTACGGCTGCTCGACAGAGTCCATGAGTTTTCATCGAATTCCCGTGGACGTGGATATTGATCGACGATTTAGCGGGATCGCCTCAATTTATTCGAGGCATCTCGACGGGTTTTCTCTGGGGCGTTCAGTGCGTTCAGGCGGCCAAGCCGTGAGGCGTTTGATGGAGGAGAGCGGGATACTGTTGAGCCACGTGCGCCAGCTGATGATGATGGCTGCCGGAGTGTGGGTGCGTATGTGTATGTGGATGGACTACGGCCGTGGCGGGCGTTACAGTGCCCGACGACGATACGTGAGTCGGCGGCAGCGGCGTCTGGGACTGCGGTGCGTGGAGGCTATGGCTATGACCTGCTACCAGGCTGTTATGGCTGCCCCCGCTGCTGGACGAGGTATGACTGTGATGATGATGCCCGAAGACGACCCCAGAGAAGGCCACGGGTCACTGATGATGCTTCGTGGAGCCATTCGCATGATGCGCCTGCGCGACCACGTGGTGACTCGAGGGTGGTGCGTGTGCGGTGCTCGGATGGTGATGACTGCCGGTCGCCGCGTGGTGATTCGCGTTATTGGCGCTGCTGCTGTTGTTGTTGTTGTTGTTATTTTGCTGTTGGGTCTGCCGCTGGCTGTTCTTCTTGTTCTTCATCCGACGATTTTGAAACCAGATCTTGACTTGGCGTTCGGTCAGATTTAGGTTACGCGCGAGCTCCCATCGCTTCTGTTTTGATACATAAGCGTTAAAGAGAAACTCTTTCTCCAGCTCGAGAGTTTGAAACTTGGAGTAAGGTTTGCGTTTCTTCCGCACCGTCACCTGGCCCGTCCATTCCAAGGGGTTGGAGCTGCCGCACCCGACGCCCATCCCCGCTACGCCAACCCCGACTCCCACACCCGCAAGCGAACCTGCGGGAAACAAGGAAGATGGGGAGGAACCCCACATCACTTAACACAATTAGTTTGCCGATGATAAAACAACCTAGCTGCTAGCTAGTAATATTCAGCAAGGAAATGTCGCAAAGGCGGATGATATAAATTCTCAAGATGGGTTTCAATATCATTTGTGCTTTTGATTTTACCAAATTTATTTTGGCCCTATTCGGATTAGACAATACGATTATAATCAATAATCAAATCAATCGAAACGAATAAATTAAACCAAATGAAATGTTATAGACTTTATTACTGTGTGTAGAGATTAGTTTATAGTTTAGTCATTAGTATATTCGAGATTTTGAATGAAGAAAGTGGTTGTACCTGTTTCTTTATCATAATTGCCATTTGTTACTACGAAGTGACTAGCAAAAATGAGCGCAAACACACCGGTTCGTTAGTTCGTGCATTGGCGCGTAACCGATACCGTTATTCTTTCTTTTTTTAATAAACATTCCGTAATCATTCATTAGAAAGATAATTCTGCCATCTAGATCGTATAATAAATCAATAAATACAAATTGTGTTTACTTATTGCTCAAATTTATCATTTCGCGTATGTAAACATATCAATCCAGAGAAATTACTGAAAATGAGAAATACGTATACTCGCTACTGCGATTGTAGAAAAAGTGACTTAAAAAAGTCCTAAAAAGGAAGGGAAGCAGATATCCAGAATTAATTGCGTTACATTAAAATGTTTAGATCGCCACTAATTATAAACGCAGAAACAAATACTTCTTAATTTTTTAAATTTTTGTAATAAATTATTGAACAATGTATTCTCTAAGATCTATATTACTATTTTTATGTAATAAAAAGTATTATTTCGTCAACAAATACTATTAAAAAAATGTTGATCAAAATTTTCACATCAAAAATGATGATTTAGCAGATACGATTTAGTATGTTCTCATTCTCGAACTCTTCGCTTTCCATTGTGTTCCCGTATTAAGATTCTACACGAGGAACTAGATCTGGGTGGGGTACATCAGCAACTAAATCCGCGCCTGATGCAACTCTCCAAATGTCAAAGCGTGCACTCCAGCTGCATGTGCGCGCGCAACATTATTCATACATATAAACGCGTGTATATACACATGTACAACATGCGCACGAGGGTTGCCGTGGCCGTTCCTGGCACAGTGGTATGATATAATTGGACCGGTTCTACTAACCGCACGAAAAACATGAAGCCGGAGTTAGCGCAGAACCGTTGTTAGGCTGGTTCTCTAGAGCGTTTCGACTGGTCGGTGGTTTTTAACAGGGTACTCTATACTCCGTTGCAAACCCAGAATGTGGAGCGACGCGAATGCATTTGTTAAAGCGGAATATACGATGGGATGGTGCAAGGTACGTACGGCACATCCGCGCCAGTGGAATGAAGCGATTACGAAAGCTCGCGACTCATCCGGCTATCTTTAACCCAGCCATGGACTGGATAAACGTCTTCTTGGTGTACGAAAATGCAACAAAATTATTTCTATTTGCTGGGTTGTCTGGCGATATTTCATATTTTTCACGTATATAGAAAAAGGAAGAAGGGGTTGTTTCTACGAAGCTACTACCTACATTTTATACCACAAAATATCAAATTGCCTCCTTTTTCATCGTTACCATCGAATATAAAATTAATTAATAATTTATTCAATAACAAGAATAAATCTTAGACCACAAAACTTTTTAATCAAAGAGATCGAATCATCTATCTTTAGCCAATCTGAATAAATACTACTATCGAATGCAGCCTTATTTGATCCGTCGGAACATGTGCGTATAATGGACGTTATCTGCGCATCATTATAATATCTCAGTTGTCACGCAGGTATTTTTATGAATCTCAGATGTCACGCAGATATTTTTATGAATCTCAGATGACAGTTCTCTAGATTTATTTACTATTAAAGCTATAATTTTTCTTGCAGCTTAAATCGTAAAATAAAAACACATAACCGCGAGTTAATTAACACGCAAATTATTAAAATATGTGTTGTACTATGATATCTTAAATATTTTCAACCATAAGATTTTGCATGCGTTTGCATGAACGAACGAAGAATTTTGCCCCTCGAATTTCATCCCGAGTTCGATTCTCGCATTTTCCTCTATTCCATCCTCCAGCCTTTCTCTATCTTTCTTTTTTTATTGATATGCTCTCTTGTTGCCTTGATGTGATTACTTAAGCAATAAGAATTTATTGCGCATTAAAATTATAATAAGAGTAACTGACCTTTGTTAAATATTTTTAATAAAGGTCAGTTACTTTTACTAAAAAATATAAAAATATTTAACAAAGATCAGGATTATCACAAATATTGATACAAAACGAATGGAGATAGAGAGCATGTGTGTATATTAAATGAGTAAACGATGAATTAATGACAAATCGTTAGATAGCAGTTTACTTAATGTTTTATAAATTTCGGAATAAATATTCTAGTTTGAGATTCAATCAAAGATCTAAAACAGTCAATATATTAAATATTCACATTTAAAAAAATAATGTATAGATAACTATATCAATATAATTTTCATATAAATATCTTTTTAATTTTAGAATTTTTATCCAGCTTAATTCAAAGATTAAAATAAACGGCATAACGATACATATTTTTAAAAGAGGAATAGGGTAAAAGACCATATTACTGGCATATTATAAGCGTTTAGTCATATTTGATTTAGTATATTTATACAATTAATGATAATTTAAAAAAGTATTAAAAATAGTTTTTTTAATTATTTCAATTATGAACTTTACATATAAAATAAAAGATAATTTAAATAAAATTAACTGTTTTTTTTTATTTAATAAAATAAAGAGCAAACTTAGTTGCACCTAATATTGGCAGCCTAAAATTTCGTTGTTCGTAATACTAGCAACCAGATGAATGCATTACTGATAGTTTTTCATATTAAATTATTGTACCT